TTTTGCTGGAAGAGTGGTCTACTTAAATTGAAAAATCGAGAAAAGCAGCTGTAGGAATTAGAGAATCGAACAAAGTGCAACGAATGATCATTCACTACTGCATAAAAGTCTTTCTTTGTACTAAGGCACTCTTCCAGTATAAAAACCATATGTATGTATGTCACATTTTTACTCTGAAGTAGTTTCAGCATTACAACAGTCACTGAGCGCTGTATACTTCCGTATTTGTGAATGATTTTGTCAAAATTGTTTTATCTACTTTAAATTTTATAACAGTAAAGTTTTAAATTATTTATAATACCCCATTTCCACTCTAAGCTTATTTTGTTATGCCAGATTTCCACTGGACGCTAAATGGTAAAATTTTCATGACCGAGTTTTACATTAAATACTATGGCCGTAAAGCTAGTATAGGTCTTTCTCTTATACCGTTTTTTTAAGCTTCATAAATTTGTCATTTCAATGCCCAGTGGATACGCGGCATTTGATTCCAGAAATTGTATACATTTTCGGGATTAGAGCCGACTGCTTTCAATACAAAGCGGGTTTGTTGATTTCTTATTTCTCGCCCTACGTATTTTAATTTGTTTGCGAGACATTTAAGGCATTTTTATGTAATAATAATTATAGAGAAATTTAAATTTAAATGCTCTATAGGAACTGAAATTAGTAATGTTTAGATTTTAAAATTAAGAAATAGTGAAATAATTGTCGTTTTTTGAGCCAAAAATTCAATTTTTAAAACTTGCCATATATTTTTTGAGCAGGAAATGACAGTTAGTTATTGATTTTTAATTCTTATCCATTTTCGGATTTTTCTGAGATTTTTGTGGTGATTTTTAAACTTTTTCAGAACCTTTTTTTTGAGATTCCTTTATGATGAAGTTTTTTTTTGCCTTAAAAATACATTAAATTTTATGCTATTTATTATAAATCACATACTTGGTAAAGTGTCTGATGAACAGGTGAGCGAAAACTTCAGTTAACGCCCGGTGTGAACATACTATAAAATTTAAGAAAAAATATTAAAGTAGTGCTTTGCAGACCAACAATAGTACTCAAATGTTAAATTATTATTTTCTTTGCGCGGAATATGCAAGATTCCGTTATTTTTTATATAGTCTTTTGACAATAAAATACTTAACTAGAAAGGTGTTACTTATAGAAAATTCCACGTTTAATTTTCATACTTTAAGTGAAGTCATTCTAAAAGCCAATAAAAGCCCTACCCAAGCAGGGCTGTCAAAAGCAATTCCCTGCATGCCTTCTAAAAGGGCTTTTCCTATTTACAATTTACTCAAGTTTAAATTACTAAGTGCCGTTGTCTCATGTAGGTTTTAATATTTACATACGTGCTCTTTAAACAAATTTTTTTCAGAACAAAATTTGTGTCTACAAGGGCCCTTAGCATTACAAATGAACTTCAATATGCATTTTAAGTTGAAATAAAACATACATATTTGATATGGACTTTAAAAAGTATGGATTTTTATGAATTAACGCAGCCATAGAACTTTACCAAAAGGCTGAAGTATATCCGACAAAAGCCCTTCTAGAAGCCCCTCAATTTGTTACACTCCAGACAAAAAGTAAAGGAATACAGTGTGGATGGCCTTTTGACTCTAAGGAAGGCTTTTCGGAAGGTCTTTTAGTTCTTAATATCATCTACTGGGCGGAAGCAACTGATGGCAGCAATGAATTTCTTAGATTTTGCCCAACAAGTTTTATAAAAAACGGTGATTATCACGGTGATCTCATGTTGTTTGAGGTTATTCTAGATGCGCTACTCCGGTTCTCATATCTTCAATTCATCTCCCGGATGAACAAGTATACATATGCAGGTATAAATTAAATTAAATAAATGCAATTATTCCACTTGAACAGTTTCTTACTTAGATAATTGAGAATCACAAAAGCTCCGAAAGAATTTCTTTAATTTTGTAACTGTTTTCAAATTTATGGCAGGTGCATTTCTGGATTTATTGCTTTTATCAGAAACAAAAACAAAATTGTGGAATAATTGTTTTTAGTGGAACTCCTTAAGGATCAGTTGATCTAAACTTAATTTACGTAACGTAGCCACATATATATTGGCCAATGCAATATATTTTAGTTCAGGAATTGTTTGATGTGGCTTATAGGCGGCATAGGGACTATCAGCTGAAAAGGAAAATACAAAAACAAAATACTTTCCCTTCTGGTGTTGAGTAATCATTGACGATTTCTTACGTAAGTTAAGTCTAGACTAACTGAACTTTTATTTATACATAAATTTTCTATGCCAAAGTTATGCCAAAGAATATTAGTTCTAAGTCTTTTCTTTGATTTTGGCAGCGATTTAAAAAATATAAATCGACTTGGACTGTGATGACTAGTCGGCACAGGTTTTAAACTTTTTTTATGTATAAGAATCTTTTTAAATTAGCATACGAAATGTGAACTGTTTTTGGAGCTAACTAACAGAATAGCTAAACTAGGTATTTTCTGAAAAGTTATCAAATAGGACCGTTTGCATTGATAAAAACGATATTTACAGTTTGTATTACACAAAAAAAAAAA